TAAATATTTCCTGTTGGGTTGCATGCAGGCACATTTCCATTCGGTATGAGACATGAAGCTCCATGTATGGTACCCCAGCTGTCCACTCCAATGTAGTTGAGTAGTCCAGAGGTCAGAATCTGACTGCTTCACCCATGGCTATGGTTTATTACTGCTGTTCATGCTTGTGCAACCAGTATATAATATCAAACCAGTGTCCATGATATCCAGCAGGCCACATCGTGATCATTTGCTTCCACTGGTTTTGGTTGTATGACACCAACTTCTGGAGGTGGCTACTATCAGTACAAAGGAAGGTCCCTTACTGTCTGTCTTTAAATAGTGTCTGACTAGTCGTGTCCTAATCTAGAAATCTTAGCATCCCATCCGGAGTTCTTGTCAAAGTCCTGTTCCATTAGAATGAAAAGCAGTTATGATAGCAGATCGGGCAAAGCAGACTCTTCTACCAAATGGAGGGTAGGTCTGGTCTGCTGGAGAAGGGCAGCTCGGCAATTTCCACTCTAACCTCTGAAAAGGAGAGCAAAGCTCTTGTCATATGAACTGCCTATGTACAGGTGTATTTATTGCCTGCTTAAATGATCATTGCAACCTGACCTCTGCAGCTACAGAACTGACCGTAGAAGAGTCTTGCAAGGTCAAAACCCAAATTCAGTTCTATCTTTATCTCTTCAGTTTGAAACAGCAGGCGGTAGAGCTCCCTAATGCTTCAAAACTGCAGAGGGGTAATCTGGCTAAGGTTGGAGACTTTGTGGTTGTCTGTCCAGTTGCTATTAGGCATCTTGTATAAAAGACAAAGCTTTTAGATGAGCAGCATGTCCTCCCTCTGCATGGACAGCAGGCTGTGGTGCTGCTCCAGGGCCAGGGCTGAGCTAAGTACCTATATTCCCCTTGCCTTCCAAGGAAATTCTTTTGACATCAAGGCTAGGATTCTTTTGAGAGGCTAGGCAGAGCAGCAGTGTAGCAGGTAATGGCCCTTCTGAAACGCTTGCCTTTTTTCTCTTCACTATTACAATGGCTAATGTAGTCACCTACGCTGTTAAAAATAACTGAATGTGGAAACGGTTCTATTTATAGCAGCAGTGCAGTTGTCTGTGCTTTCTGCTTGGGGTGAGGAGGAAAGATGCACACGCTTTCATCTGTTGGTGAGCAGCCTAGAAACTGAAGGTATATTTCCTTGTCAAACTGTACTGTCACTTTCTTGAGTTGTGCCTAAGTCTAAGCCATCTGGAACGAAGCTTTTGGCAAATCGGACCTCATTGGTGTGGAATCCTGCTAGAATATCCAACTCCAACATTCAAGTCCT